CGAGGACCATAGCTAGGACTCCAAAAACCCCAAAAATCATCCCAAAAGTCAACAATCTTCAACAAAAAAAATGGGTAATGTAGATCCAACCTATTCACACCTCATACAGTGACATCGAAGCAGAAATCCTTCGAAATCTCCATAAAAAACTAGATTTGGAGTTCGAACTCAAAAATAACCAAAAATCCTAAAAAAATTGAAAGTTTTACCAAATGATTTCAAAAAATTTCAAGAAAATCACCATAAAATTTAGCACTTAGAGTCTATGAAATTTGTAATTATTTTGTGAATTTTTGACATGTTCATGCTGACGTCAACATGTCAGAAGCTGAAATCAGTAACCGAAAAATGATGCCATCAACTGAAAAAATGACGTTAGCAGGGTTTTCTCGGGTTTGATAATTTCCTAAAATTTCTAACAACTTTGAGACTTTAAATCTAGATTGCTGCTCTGATACCAAGTTAAATTATAAAGTAATTAGGGTTAGGAAGAGAAGAAGATTAGTAAGAAGAAGAGAGATTACAGAAGAGCGTAGTGTGTTAGGGTTTAAATCCTAATATAAGATGACATAACATAACAATGAGATACCAACATATACTAATCAAGCTTCTAATGACACTTCAGGTTCTCTAGTACATTAGATTTCTGCCAATAGTTGCATATACTATTGATTCTCATGATGATCTCTCTCAACTTCGTTAACTCATCCAATAGTTATCTCTCAACTTCGTTAACTCATCCAATAGTTATCTTTATTTTTTACACATTTATCTATTCTTACTATTTGTCTTTCTAGTGAAGGTAATTATGCATGTGTGATTACTTAATCTTCTTTGTAATCTTGGATCATTGATTCGGGGACTAGTGCTCATATGTTTGGTATTTTTTCCCATTCTCTAATTTTCATTTGTCTAACTCATGTATTGTGTTAGCTGATAGTTCTTTGCGACTGATACATGGAATTGGTGATCTCCATCCTATTCTGTCTATGCCATTAAAATCTGGGTTGTTTGTTCCTAATTTTTCTTTTTAAATTGTTATCTGAGTCAATTAATTAAATTTTTATCGTATTCGGTAACTTTTTTTTCATCTTGTGTTTTTTAGGAACTCAACACGAAGAAGGTGATTGGTGTGAGACATGAGCGACCCTGTGATTTGGTTTGGTTCCTAGTGATTAGGTTCTTGCCTTGAGTGTTATTATGTCTCATCTTTAGTGACACTTTTGACTAGGTCATCCTTCATTACAAAAGTTGTGTCAAGTTATCCCTGGTCAGAGTTCTTCTTTTTTATAAGAATGTGATGTTTGTCAATTGGGCAAACATTACCATAGTTTTTTTCTTCCTAGTTCTTTAAGTCGTTAGTTTAGTTCATTTCATGTTGTTCTTACAGATATATGGGGTCTTGCAACATGTAAAAAGTATTTTTTGTTTTCAGCACTTTGTTATCATTGTTAATGATTTCTCTTGTATGACTTAGTTATTTTTTTATGAAAGACCGATCTAAATTGCATAAGGTCTTTACCATTTTTTATAATAGAATTCTGGTCCGGTTCAATACCCATATTAATGTTCTTCTGTCTGACAATGTCATTGAGTATTTCAATCATTTATGAAAAACTTTTGTGTATATTATGACATTATCAATCAAATTACCTGTCCTCATACCTCCTAACAAAATGGCATTGCCGAACACAAACATTGTCATTTGTTGGATGTTGCCCGCACCTTCATGTTTAACATGCATATGTCAAAATCATGTTGGGTTGATTCTGTGCTTATCTCAATTTATCTTATTAATCACATGACTTCCTCCATTTTGACAACAAATCTCCTTTCTCGTTACTTTATCATGATAAACCGTTATTTAGACTTATTCCTCGTGTTTTTGATTGCGTTGTATGTGTTCATCTTCTTGGTTCGGGGTGGGATAAACTTTCAACTTGCTCAGTTAAGTGTCTTTTTGGGACATTCTTGTACTCAGAAAAGTTATGGGTGCTATGACCTTATCTTTCGCCGATAGTATGTCAGTGCTGATGTTACATTTTTTGAGTCATCGTCTTTCTTTTCTCTATTAGGACATGCACTTTCCCCAAATTTAGTCTTTCCTAGTCAGGAAGAGCTCTTGCTGCCTATTGTACCAGATTGTATTTCCCACCCTTTTTGATTACTACTCTGTTGTAGGTTTATCGTCATTCTAAGGACTAACTGGTTATTCCATATGCTCCAGCTCTACAATCATCACTTGATTCTATTGAGGTCTTACTGTCAACTAGTTTGGCCACTTCTGATTTACCAAACCATCATTCGTACTTGTATCAAGAATTCCATTTCCATTTCTATTTTTGTTTATTTACATTGACTTTCATCATTCTTTTGTTGTTTTGTATCGACTGTCTTCTGTATTTGTTCCTAGCTCTTTGCGACAAGCTTTGACATCTTTTGGTTAGAAATTGGCTATGGATGTAGAAATGAAAGCCCTTAAGGGCATAAACTACTATATAGAGTCTTGAGTGCCTTCCTTTTGTAAACCAACTAAGTTAATTCCGATTGAATGCGGAATCCCACTAGCTTCGTATGCACTCCTAGATCCATAAAGGGACATGGGCTTCTCTATGCCGGTGTAGCTAAGCAAAGAGCAGAAAGAAGGAATCACAAAAGAAATTCATTCTTTCAACATTTGATGAAACTTACCGGTCATGAGAATCAAACAAGGGATCTTACTTCTCTTCTTTCTATTAAGTTGTCTGTTAGTTGTCGTTGAATTTATACAGTGAGTATCAACCCGATGGTTCAGTTGAGCATTTGAAGACATGCTTAGTTGCCAAAGGCTACACATAGACATGGTATGGATTATTATGAGACTTTTTCTCCTGTTATTCGTCTTATCTTTGTCAGAGTTCTTATTTCTGTTGTAGTTAGTTATGATTACCCTTTGTATCAACTAGAAATCAAGAATGCAGTTTTACATGGAGACTTACAAGAGGAGGTATATATTCTATTACCTTAGTTAAGGAACAATTAGTGTGTCGTTGAAGAAAGCACTATATGGTTTGAAATAATCACCACATACTTAGTTTGATAAGTTCAGTACTATTGTACTTGAGTATGGTTTTCGGCGTTCTATTTCAGAACCATTTAGTTTTTATTTGTCGTTCTTCCACATGTATTATTATTCTTATTATGTATGTTGATGACATTATCATTAATGGTAATGATTTAGATATCATTGCCCATTTTCAAGATTCATTTGGGGAATCAATTCCATACTAAAAACCTATGTCTTCTTCGGTATTTTGTTGGGATTGAAGTTGTTCGGTCAAAGGAAGGTATCAGTTTGTGCCAACGAAGTATGTATTAAATTTATTGTCTGAAATTGATACTCTTGGTGCACTTCCAACTGATACTCCCATGGACTCTACGATTAAGTTAGATGCTGAGAGTTGTGAAGTTTTTGATGATGTAAGCGTTATCAAAGGTTGATTATTAAGCTGTTTTATTTTATAGTTACATGTCTTGATATTACCCGTGGTGTTGTTAGTCAGTTCATGCATGCTCTTCGTAAGTCTCATTGAGAGGCTATTTGCCATATTCTTCGGTATCTGAAAAGAGCACCGGATAAAAGATTATTATATCGTTCTTCATCATCAATGACTATTATTGGCTTTTTTGATACTACTGGACAGATAATCGTGTTGATAGACGATTTATTTTGGGTTACTGTATGTTTATTGGTGGCAATCTTGTGACGTGGCGCAACAAGAAACATAATATAGTTGCACATTCAAGTGTAGAGACTGAATATCGGGTCATGGCTCATATTGTGTGTGAAATGTTGTGAGTTCATTCTTTAGTTCATGAATGAGTATTAGTGTGGCCTTTCCTATGGAAATGCATTGTGACAACTAGACGGCTATTTTCATTGCGAGGTCTTTCATAAGAGGACTAAACACATTAAAGTAGAATATCATTTTATTCGAGATCTCCTAATGCGAAAGGAGATTATCACACGATACATCAAGTCTACTAATCAGCTGGGTGATATTCTTACCAAACCATTGACTCGATCTGTTTTCACTAATCTTTGTTCCAAATTAGGTATCTTTGATTTTTATGCTCCAGCTTGTGGGGGAGTGTTAGAGTTCTTATTTTATATTATTATAAATGTATGGTAATAATGTAATTACTCATAATATCAATTTATTATAAATAAGAGTGTAGGGCAACATAGCTCATACAAAGATTATTCTCATTCTTTTTCTCCTCTTCTCTTCTTCTGTCCTGCTCTCCTCCTTCTAACATATTGTAGTTTTTTACTTCTTAACTGTCAAGATCCTGGTCACACCAAAAATAGATCTCAAGGACCAAGCTACAATAAGAAATGGAGAAGAAACTCAGATTATTACATTACTTTCAGAGAACTGCTTCTAATAAAGTCAAACTTCATTTTTAATCTATTTTTGCAGCATAAATTTCTTTTGACAGATATGAGCATCATTTGAGGACAATTTACTCAAAGTTGTCTACTTTTAATAGCATTAACAGTTCTTTTGTTTGAATGGTAAAAACCCCCGTTTAACAGGGATGGAAGTGGCTCTTCATTCTGAAATAATTATTTTGTTCTCCATCTATTGCGTTTTCAGAGCTTCAAAGTTTCCAATTAATGCTTTAGCTTCTAGGACGGTTTCTAAATTTAAATTATTATTGGCATGGTGTAATAGTCACTGATGCAAATTGTTATGCCAAACGTCTGTGAGATTTTTTGGTATCTTTACTTTGTTGCATGACTTTAAATATATGCTGCTATACTTGAATCAATTATAGAATATGTGTGCTATTTGGAACAGGTTCTTTACTTGTGACATTTGAAATGTCTCTTTCCATCTAAATTTCACAGTTCGTATGGCCAAAATTTGTCCACCAGCACATTTATTGGGGAAACCTCATTTGCAATACTCATTGCCATCTTGGGACTCGTCTTGTTTGCCCATTTGATTGGAAACATGCAGGTATTGAGAAACACTTACTCTCTTTGACCGATATTTTTGTTTAGATTAAGTTCCAAAATAAATGTTTGAAATGCTCTAACAATCTCAAGGACTGCTCTTTTTCTTGAAGTGTTATGAAACTGATAATGGTCAACTGACAATTAAAAAATTCATTTTTTTTGTTAATCATCGAAATTATATTAGAAAAAGAAACAATAACATCAAAAAGATACCATGGAGGACAAGACATCCTCCCAAGGATTATGACAAAAAATAGGAAAACTACATCAAAAAAATCCAAACCAGCGGTGTAAAAGAGAGGAAGGCCATCAAACTCCTTGGTCACTGATGCCCACAAGAACCAGAAACTACACTCTAGCCCATAAGCAATGATTGCTCTCTCTTTTCCTATCAAAACTCTAGCATTCGGTTCAACCAAATCACTCAAAAGCCAAGAATAGCACAATTTGAAAAAATTTGTAGCCGAAATCCCATCTAAAGCCCCTGAAGGCTTCCATAAACATGGAGACATAGTGCCTAGGAACCACCCAACTCATTTTTGCCAATTGGAATAACTTCCACCACTGTTCTCAAGCAACGGGACAATGATCAAGGGTTCCCCCTAACTTTGAAACATAACGCCCCACTGTGGTAGCAAACAAGCATAAGGCTTCCTTTTCTGAAGCACATCATTAGTATAAATTTTGCCACGAGCTATCGGCCATGCACTAAATTTGGACCTTTATGGCACCTTTGCCTTCCAAAGCATCATAGATGGAGAGAACACTGGAAAAGGTGAAAGTGTCAATCAAACACTCAAAGAAAGATTTACAAGAGAACATCCCAGATGGATCAACCACCCTACTCTTATATTCTCCATAATCACTTGCCCGTAAGGGGCGCAGTCATACATTTTCTTCCTTTTTCATGAAAAAATATCTGATACTACCACCGAATCACCTTGAGTGCTGTGATCCCAATACTTCTATGGATGGTATTGGGAATTTGGGATTCTACTGAATGCTTGTGTCATTTATGCTTAGTTATTTTCTAAAAATGGCTTTGGAGTCGCACTAAAAGCTCTTTTAAAATTTGACTTGATAACAGGGTATTTCTGCGATTATTAGTTTTGGAGGTTTAGCCTGGTGTAATTGATCTTCCTTAGAAATTTCAAAGCTGTTTTTAGTCTTTGTAAAACATTTGTTTTCTATTATTTTTCTTGATATGATGTTACTCCAGAAAAGGTTCACTCAAGTACCATCAAATTTCAGATTTATTAAGCCCTCCTTCATGTGATGGTAAATGGAGCTTTTGAAAACAGAATATTTCAGTGATGCTGAATGGAAAATGAGATCAAGCCAAATGTTGAAGACCAACAGTGAAGAGAATAAAATTTATGGAGTGATTAGGAGATTTTTTCATATCTAATCAGTTGAATTCTTGGCTTCTGAAATATTTGTTGGTTTTCCTGGTGCATACATTTACATCCACTAGATTTTGGAACCTTTAGTTGTTTATGGTGGTCCTTGTTTCCTCATGGTACTTATCATTTTCCATTACCATGCTTATGTGGACTATTTACCTGATGACTGATTACTGATGTGCAATAGACTTAACCATAAAAATACCACTGGTGAGTGTATACAATTGTAAGAAGCTGTCAGTATCCACCACTGGTATTTAAGAGAATCAGCTGAAGTTGATTGAAGAAGAACCTGAGGCTACTAGGTTGAAGAGTGAGTAAAAGTAGATTACCTAGACCGATGGTTAGCATAATAATTTCTCGTACTGTGTTGAAAACAGTGGACTAGAATCTAAATGAGGTGACCTACGTCTTTTGGCTGAACAATTATTTGAAGATTGGAATTGCAGAATATATTGATTTCACACAAGAAATAGGTAGTTTCTGGTGGGAAAGCGAATCAAAATATGCAGAAGTTACATGAGTTTGTAATTAGGACTTCTATATTTAACATGCATTGTATTGTACGACTTCTCAGGTGTTCACATGTCAAAGTAGTATCAACATACCCATATAAAATCTTACTTTCTACTTCTTTTGTGGCCTGTATTGTACAGTTCATGTCCGTTTACAGCAGACAGACTCCCATAGCAAACATTATGAGAGACTAAGAAATAGACGCAAAACGTAGATATCAGGATTGCCACTTGCAAAAGACATCACCATCGGTATTTGTTGTAGCTGCTAATATCAATGCATAACTTGTAAGCGACTGTCTGTGTCTATAAGTAAAAGTCCCTCTTGAAATGTAGTGCCTAGACTTTCACCTCATCTTCAGGTTCATCATAATTGGGGACATTAAGTTATCAACGGGTCCTCCTCAATTCTTACCAATTGTGAGCTTTTGATGGGTTTTAGGGAAATGTAATGTACCCATTAGATGCCCAAGATTATGAATCTTTCAAAACCCTTTCTGCAGTACAGAATTGCCATCATGTATTTCTTTGATATGATTACTATCCAGCTTATCTGCAAATGAGAGGGCCATTCAATCTCTATGTGGAATAGTTTAGTATGATTTTGTATGTGTTGCAATATTAATAGAGAACATAACACGTTGAAATGTTTTTCTTGCTCACCATTTGTACTTGTTGCAAGTGTAGACCTACCTGCAATCTATCACTGTGAGGCTTGAGGAGTGGAGGCTAAAGCGACGTGATACTGAGGAGTGGATGACGCATCGCCAACTCCCTCGAGATTTGCAAGAACGTGTTCGGAGGTTTGTACAATACAAGTGGCTTGCAACACGAGGAGTTGACGAAGATTCTATACTGCATGCCTTGCCTACAGATCTTCGTAGAGATATCCAACGCCACTTATGTTTGGACCTTGTTCGACGTGTAAGATATTTTTTGCTTTCATCCTCATCTAATGCTATATATGTGCTACACCAAGGTCCATTTCCAATGTGCAAGTATAGTGTACCTGCACTTGTTTTCACAATTCAAGGAACACATAAGGAAGAGAATTTCTAGTAAGAAAACTATCATTTTGTGCAGTATTGTGATTCACTTCTGGTTTCTATTGGCCTAGATAGCATTCTGTCTTGCAAAAACTGAAATTTTTTTTGCTCTTCTTATTGGGATACCTTTTGTATTGTGCCTCATATCCACTGGGCAGAGACCGGCTTCATCGACTTCCAGTGTCCATATGGAATGCATCTATATCTCCTGGGGATAGGGATGGCAGTGGATCAGGGCGGGGGAAGTAGTCTCCACCCCTTTATCCGCTTCAAAAATATTCGTCCACCCCCGTTAGCAGGTGAAATTTTAATCCCTGTCCCCACTCCACGAGTAAATTTTGATTCCCGTCCTTGTCCTTGCCATTGTCCCAGTCCATAATAATTAATTTATATGATTTTAAGAAAAAATTAAAAAAAATCATAAAACCTCACAAATGGTTTTGTAAGAAGGATGAAACCATATTACATAACAAGTGGATCAAAAAAAAAAAAGAGTAAATTTTTTTTTTGGGATAAAGAGGAGAGTGTGTGGGTGGGTGGGGTTTGTGATAATATATATATATATATATATGTATGAATAAATAGGTGGAATTTGTGTCTTTGTGATATTATATATATGTATTACAAATAACCTATGCCTAAAGGCATTAAGTAATTCAAAAAACCTCGAGCACCGGTCTTGCAATATAAATATTTTCAAACAGTACTTTATTTTCTTTAGTTACACAATTCAAAATCATGTTGAAAACACTATTTTCTAAAAAATTTTGGCAAAACATCTCTAAAAACACAACCCCTAAAAATATCAACATACACAATTTATATATTTAATCATTATACCTACCAAATATCTTTTTTTTTTTTGGGTTGGAGTCGAAATTGCGTGTTGACGGGTGTATAGAGAGAGTTATATGAGAGATGAGAGTATGACATAGATAAAAATTAGAGTTTTAATAGGTATTAGATATATTTTGTTATTATTAGATATATATTGCCATTCAGGCCAAACTCTCCAATTCTTATTACTTTATTATTATATGCGTTTAGGATAAAGAGAATGTGTGTATGTGAGTATGAGGTAGATAGAAAAATAGAGTTATATGAGAGATGAGTGTATGTTAAAATGTGTGAGAGATAAGAGAGAAAACTGTAAAATGAATGAAAATTCAATTAAGATTATATAGATACAGATAGATAGATATATAATGACATACATGGACAGAGTTATACAGGGGCAAGGGTGGGCACAGGTAGGGGTGTTCACCCTACCCTATGGGTAGGAAATATGCTTTTCATCTTCCTACCTGATACTTTGTGGAAGAGTTTTTTCTTGGCCTACCCTACCCGACAGGTGTGGTATTCCTACTCGACTTCTTACCCGATTAATCGGGTAGGAAGTCAGGTAGGAAATCGGATAAACATTTTTGTAACAATTAATTTTTGGATCATTTTAACAATTTAATTAAATACTATGTACCAATTTAACAACACAATAAATAAATTAACACTAAAATCTAAAACAACTACAACAAGAATTATAATAAAACACAAGAAAGTATGAACATCAATTCACCATAATTGTTACACAAATACAATAACAATTAATTTAAGTTTAAACTTTAAACTATATGAAATACATTAAAATCATAATTGTTCTGTCTGTGGTTAGGTTTTTTTTTAGTTTATATATATATATATAAAAAATTATTGCAGGTAGGGTAGGGTAGGAATGTAAAAATGGATGGCTATTCCGCATTCCTATCTGAAAATTGTCAGAAAACCAAAAATTCTTCCGCATTCCTACCCGATTTTTGTGGCTAGATGTTCAGTAGGGTAGGGTAGGGTAGGAACTTGCGGCCGATCAGAAATTTGAACACCCCTAGGCACAGGTCCGCCTTCAAATTTTTTTTAAAGAACATGATATGTATATTTATATTTATATATTCTACACATTTTTTACTTGTGCTTACTCTATAATTTTCTTATTTCAATTATTTAGTTTTTTTTTATTATAATAAAGTTTTCTTCAGATGACCTCCATTTTATTATGAATTTTTGCAATTGAAAGTTTTTCAATTGATCTTTATTTGACTTTGTTTTTCTACCATAAAATGTCTTTTATTTTTATTTGATTATTGATTATAGTCTTTATTATGTGCCAATCGATTTTATTTTTTTAATATGTTTACCGTTTAAATTTTTGTTTAATAGTTTTACTATGCTAATATTTTAGTGATAATGTTTAGAACATCGTTTATTAAATAATTTTAATGGATGGTTAGTGGATGACTGATATTTTTTAATTATAAAAATGACAATTAGGTTCACTTTTTTTACAATGGTGATAATTAGTCAATATTGTATACATATACAATATACATTATTTTTTTGTCATTTTATTTTAAATAGACTTCATGTATCAAATATGATATAATAAATATAAATATATCATATAGCATGATTGGTTAGGAGAAAAAACATTAGAGTGTATAATGAACGTGTCCACCCTAAATAAAATTTCTGGCTGATGACCTATGTTAATGGACCAAAAATTTGTTAGAAATAATCCTTGTTATTAGAGTTTTAATGGGTATTAGATATATTTTGTTATTATTAGATATATATAACCGTTCAGGAGATGGGAGAATGTGTGTTTAAAACGTGTGAGAGATAAGAGAGAGTATAAGATAGAGAGAGAGTTGTGTCAGTAAGTATGAGATAAGGAGAGAGAATTAGATGAGAGATAGTAGTTTTAGAAAATTTTCGCATTACAACAGTCGGATCAATAATCGTCGAGCAATCTGAGCCATGAAAAAACAAACTTTTATAACTACTTTATTATATATATATATATATATAGTACGAGTTTAGCAAGGCGGGGAGGGACGGGACAGGGATGAGTTTCAGTCCATCCCTGCATGGGCTTATATGGATATCCTCGTATAAGTCCACTGTCCAATACGCATGGTCCATCCCTGGTCCAAACAGAACGGATTTGGACGAATATTTATTTTTTCTGGTCCACTATCATCCCTACTTGGGAGAATCGTATATGCCCCATTTCATAGAATTTTGCCGCTTTGTGAATAGGGTAGACTAAAGGAGTTTTTGCTCTTGTTAACGCATGAGTGCATGTACTGGGCTAGCGTTCTACTACATTTTAGGCTTCATGGAGATCTTAATAAATCTAAATCACTTCTAACTCATGAATTTTCACTTTTTGGTTGTTGATATCGTCGTCCTAGTAAGTCAATGTAGGACCAATTCAATGCCAATTCTTGCTTCCCCTGGACAGGTCACTCTCCTGGAGAAAGTTGTAGCAATAGCTTTTCATTAGTTCTTGCATTAAATCACGATTAACTTGAAACAATTCCAAATTGCAGGTCCCCTTTTTCTCAGAGATGGATGATCAACTACTTGATGCCATATGTGAGCGCCTCCTATCATCCTTAAGTACTCAAGGCACCTACATAGTTCGTGAGGGGGATCCCGTTACAGAAATGCTTTTTATTATCAGAGGGAGACTAGAGAGCTCAACTACAAATGGAGGCCGAACAGGTTTCTTCAATTCAATTACATTGAGACCTGGCGACTTTTGCGGTGAGGAACTTCTTGCATGGGCACTGCTTCCAAAATCTACTCTCAACTTGCCTTCTTCGACAAGAACAGTGAGAGCCCTTAATGAAGTGGAAGCCTTTGCATTGCGAGCAGAAGATCTCAAGTTTGTAGCCAATCAATTTAGACGTCTCCACAGTAAGAAGCTTCAACACACATTTCGTTGTTACTCTCACCACTGGAGGACTTGGGCTGCCTGTTTCATTCAGGCTGCTTGGTGCCGACACATGAAGAGAACGATGGCAAAGAACCTTAGCATGACAGAGTCATTCTCCTCTTTTGCTCCTGATGAGCAAGTAGTTGATGAAACAGAACAAGAAAGCGAAGAGGACAATGCTAAACCAGTAAATTCGTCTCAAGCAAAACAGAACTTGGGAGTCACAATACTGGCTTCAAGATTTGCTGCTAACACAAGGAGAGGAGCTCAGAAGACCAAGGATGTTGGATTGCCCAAGTTGCAGAAGCCTGAAGAGCCTGACTTCTCGACTGAGCCAGATGATGACTAGTTTTTTTTGAACTGTAGATGATGACTAATTCAAATGTGGTAACAGTGTGAGTTATGACAACCGCCACTATCAAGGGAGAAGTTGCAGAATCCTTTAAAGAAAATTCCAAAATTAGGTGAAGGTTTGGATCTTCATACAAGAACACATGATGCACAGCTCTAATTGCATTAGTTGTATTGTAGTGTAAAAGCATGCCATTCAGTAGAGGTAAGCTGCTTCCAATTTATTTGCTTTCCTTGACAAATACATGTAGCATGCCTTGGAAACGTGTCAGGTAATGGTTAAGAGCAGTCAGCAGTGCAGGCATAGCTTGTTGCATAATTTGAGGTTTTGAAATTCTGGTTCAATATGTATATCAGAGTTCTGCTTTTATGCATTTTTTTTTTTTTTGGGTTCAAGTTTTAGGACAATATAAACTTCATTGTTAGTGTGATATTTGCTTAAAAATTTTGCCGGTTGCACTACAATTACAATATGGCTTGCATATGTGATTGGATATTGAAATGCTCTTAATGTTAGGATCTTCCCATTTGATTATACACGAGAAATCGCTAGCACAACCTAGAAGGGGGAGGGCTGAATAGGCTAATTAAAAATTATCGATTGAACAACCTTCATTTTATAACCTAAGCGATCACAATTGCCAAATTAAAAGATTAATTTGTCAATTAAGCATTTGAACCTTTTTTACTCACAAAAAAAACCTTTCATGATTGAATGGATATGTATATGCAATCATTTGATCCCTCCTACAAGTCAAGTACCAAAACCTCAATTTTGATGAAGAAATTGAATGAAACAACTCAAGTGTCAGTTCATTAGACATAATGTATGCTACAGCAAGTGTGTGCAAAATTTAAGGAAGAATAAGAACATCCACAGTGTAAGTAAT